AGAGAGAGAGAGGGAAAGTGAGAAAGCAAGCCACCCGGTCCAGGACCTGAACCGTTGTCGGCCATGTGGGAGTCCAGCACCCTTAACCACCATGCCACCTGCTAGCCCTGATAATTATTTGTTTTTTTTTTAAAGAAAAGTCGTTTGTCTCGCTTCACCAGGGACGTCTGTGACTCTGGCCTCTCCTCCCATGCGTACGCAGCAGTGAGGCGCCCAGGGACCACTGGGCCCCGATCCCTTGCCTTGAGCTCTGCTCAGGCCCTGGCAACCTCCCCACCAGCCTGGCCAGCAGCAGCACAGTGCAGGGGCAGACGATGCATGGGTGGGGACCTCGGGACCTCAGGGCCTGGGAGCTGGACCGTCCTGGCCCGAGTGTCCGGCGGATGCCTGCGGGGTTTCCTGAGGGCTCTGCAGCGGCCGCAGAGCTCAGCCCCTCTGTCCGTCTGCAGCTGACATCGGCGACCTCTTGGAGCAGTTAGTGGAGGAGATCACGGGCTCCCTGTCGGGCCCTGCCAAGGATTTCTACCAGCGGGAGTTTGACTTCTTCAACAAGATCACCAACGTGTCGGCCATCATCAAGTAAGCAGCGGCAGCAGAGCAGCCTTCGGGGGGCTGTCGGGATGTCGGGGAGCGTCAGTGCTGAGCTGGGCCCGCTGCCCACGCTCCCGGGCAGGCGGTGGGGAAGCGCTGCCCTGCGTGGCTCAGCCTCCCCACGTCAGAGAGGCCTGTCCCCTTGCGTACACGGTCCCACTGGTGGAGGCCACTCTGCTCCCCCCAGCTCCGAAGGATCCCGGGGTATCAGGAAACCCAACCTTGGCAGCTTCTGGCATTGCTTCCCTGAACCCACGGTTCACGTGGCCCCGACTCCAACCTTGGGCATCGGTGGCTTTGCCCATTTGCAGGGGACCCAGTCCTGGGTCATGGGCGAGCCCAGTCAGAGGGGTGCTGGGCGTGGTCCTGACTGGCCCGTTCCTGGGCTGACCCCAGTACTCGGGCTGCTACGAGCTGGTCACCGTGAGGCCCGTCCACGCCTCCTGAGGCCCTTCCGTGGCCGGGTGCAGGGGCAAGTGGCCATGCAGCTTCCAGCACGAGCGGAAGAAGGGGCGGGCGGCACCTCGTGGGCACTGTCAGGTGACCTCAGTTCACCCTCACCCCATCTGAAGGCAGGACGTCGGTGGGGCCTGGCCAGGGCCGCACAGCAAGTGGACACCAACCAGTGTGCGGCCCCGAGCTGCCGACCCCACTGGGCTGCCTCTGACCGCAGCACGTACACACCCGCGGGCGGGCGAGGACAGCCAGCAAACAATCCATGGCCTGCCTCTGACCGCAGCACGTACACACCCGCGGGCGGGCGAGGACAGCCAGGAAACAGTCCATCGAGGAGGGACACGGCAGGGACTGCCGCGAGCTGTCTCCTGGGGACAGAGGCCTGGAGAGGGACCCGGACAGGAGGGGGCCCCAACCCCCGAAGCCGGTTCCTGCCAGAGTCAAAGCAGCCTTCTGTGTCGGTTCTCAGGCCCTACCCGAAAGGCGACGAGAGGAAGAAGGCGTGTCTGTCGGCTCTGTCGGAGGTGAAGGTGCAGCCGGGTAAGCAGGCGGCCTGGGAGCGAGAGGGCGGCGGGGGCTGCTCTCCTCTCCGGGCAGCGCAGGGCAGGCCTGAGACAGTGGTTTGGCCAACCCACACCCCGTCAGCCCTTGGGAGCCTGAACTGTCACTACCCCGACCCCTTTCCAGTATCTGCCCCTGGGAGGCTGGCGCTGCTTGTAGGGGTGTTATTTATTATTCTTATTCTTGGGACCAGCAGTTGGCATAATGGCTACGTCGCTGGACTCCCATGTAACCGACCACGGTTCAAGTCCCAGACCTGGTGGTTTAAACTCACACC